CCTGCGAGGAATAGACGCAGTCAAAGAAAAGATGGCACCGAGATTCCTGCTCACTTGCACAGAGTACACAATTTACATCCACCCCCTGGTTCCATTTTGAAATCCTGTCCATTGTGGATAGCCTATTTCTCATAGCTAACCAACTCACAAACGCAAATTTGGGAGTCCCTTGCTTGAACCAAACACAATTAACCCAACTACAAGGAACAATAGGAACTCTCAGAAGCGACCAAGTTTCAAAAGTGGAAAAATTCTGTTTTGAGCCTGAACAGCCTCTCCACATATTCATATCCTCCACATCAACATTGAGCTTCTCCTTAATCTTATCAAGATCATCTTCAATGTCATTTAATAACACAGCTCAATGTTTTCTTCTCCTTTTGGGTCGTTTTACTACCTCTGCAACCGTAGCCTCCCTGCATATTCCCATGTCCAACAACCCCCTATCACCCAGCAAATTGATTAGCACTCCTCTCTCCGACCAATCATCATACCAGAAGGAAGTTGTCAATCCATTCCCCAACTCTTTTTTATAAAACCCTCTAGCCACATCCCTCATCTTGAGCATCTTTCTCCACATCCAAGAGCCAACTTGTGTATGCTCCTTTAGCTCCCAGAAACTCTTCTTTTTGAGAAGATAGTTATCAATCCACCTTCCCCATAACGAGACACCCGAAAGCATTCTCCAGATTAACTTCAAGACATTTACATTATTCATCACTTTTAGGTCCCTGATCCCCAACCCACCTTCCTCCTTCTCATGACAAAGGACATTCCAAGCAACTTTCGCCCCCGAAGCTTTAAGTTCCGGCCCAGACCAAAGGAAAGCCCCACACAGCTGTTCTATTTCTTGAATACATTTACGAGGAAGTAGGTATACAGAAATCCAGAAATTTACCAAACTCATAATCACTCCTTTTATAAGTTGCAACCGTCCTGCGTAGGATAAAAATCTGGTAGACCAAGAGCATATTCTACTCCTTACCTTCTCAACCAAGGGGAAATAGTCTTGTTTTCGCATAGCTTTTGTCATCAGAGGCAATCCCAAATAGCGAACAGGGAGATTTCCTTTTGCAAACGGAAACTTTGCCAAGATTTTATTCTCCTCCTCTTTAGAAACCCCAGCAAGAAATATCGTTGACTTCTCAATGCTGATTCGCAACCCAGACCATTCAGCAAATTTATCAAAAACCATGAGCGCACCTTGAACCGACTCATTAGAACCCTCAACAAACACCATCAAGTCGTCCGCAAAACACAAGTGAGTTAACGAGATCGACTTGCAGCGCGGGTGATAAAGGAAAATTTTCCTTACTGCTGCTCTGTTAATTTCCAGCGACAGAACATTCATACCCAGTACAAAGAGGTAGGGAGAGAGTGAACAGCCTTGACGTAGCCCTCTGGAACTTTGAAAGTATCCTGCTAAGTCACCATTGACTTGAACAGAAAAAGAAGGTGTGGTAATGCAAAGTTTGATCCATTTAATGAACTTCGCTGGCATTCCCAACGCCTCCAAACTTCTCAGAGTAAATGACCACTGGACCGAGTCAAAAGCCTTCGATATATCAATCTTCATAACTCCCCGTGGTGTGACTGAGTCCTTGTGGTAATCCTTTACCAATTCAGAAGCAAGCAAAACGTTTTCCATCAATAGTCTACCCCTGATGAAAGCAGATTGATTCTCTAAAATGATTCTTGGCAGGATCTTCTTCAACCTATTAGCAAGAATTTTCGACACCACCTTGTAAAGAACATTACAACAAGCAATGGGTCTAAAATCTTTCATCTCCATAGAGTCAGTCTTCTTTGGAACCAATGCAAGAATGGTTGAATTTATACCTTTTGGCAGAAACCCATAGCGGAAAACAGATTGCACAGCAATAATGAATTCACTCCCAATTACCGGCCAAGCAGTTTTCACACGGGTATCCGTCTGGCCCTGGAGACTTGTGCGAGGCCATAGAAAACAGGACCTTACGGATTTCCTCTGCAGATGCCTCAGCCTCTAGCTGCGTACACTCAATCTCAGAACAGCTATATCTCATTAAGCTCTTTAACTCCTCCACAGAAACATCTCTCATGTTATCAGGTTTATGATTCAAAAAGTCAGAGAAATACCTCACAGCCTCCTCCTTAATCTCTGTATGAGTTTCAAATCGATTACCATTCTGACCCCTTATGACTCTGATTTTATTTTGCGCAGTTCGGGCTTTGATAGAATTATGAAACGTCTTATTGTTCAAATCTCCCACCTCCAACCAATGGAGCTTAGCTTTTTGCTTAAGATGTTCCTCCTCCAAACTAGCTATCTGAACCCATTTCTCATAGGCCACTGCTTCTTCATGAACATTGACATCAGAGGGTTGCAACAAGGAGTTCTTCTGTTTCTCACAGAGGATCCCGTAGGCTTCATTAGTTTTCTTGGTCAGATTTCCTAGACTTTCTCTACCCATCTCTAATGAACGGTTTCAGATTTTTTAGCTTCTTTGAAAATCTGAACATAGCAGAGGTTGAGTGAAACAATACCTCCGTTGATTTCCAATACTCTTTTAGCATAGGTATAAATCCCGGCAAACTCCCAATAGCGTTCACGTACTTGAATGGCTTTCTTACCTTCTCTATTGGCGGCAGCAACTGAAGCTTACACCTCAAGTGATCAGAACAACCACCAGGTTCAAACGTAGCAAAGCTATTTGGGAATCTGTTAGAAGCTGCATTATTCATCAATACTCTGTCTAGCTTCTTACATATGACTCCATCCTCCCTTTTATTGCACCAAGTATATAATGGACCCTGGTACCCCATATCTGATAGATTACAATGTAGTACCATATTTTGAAAATCTCGAGTACCACACGGAACCCTACTCAGATTAGCAAAACCAGAATTTTCTCCACCCTCCAAGATTTCGTTGAAATCACCCATTATCAACCAAGCTTTATTCCTAAACATGGGAGACAAATGGTGATCACAGAGATCACTCCATAAGACCTTTCTCTCTTCTGCAGAATTGCTCGCATACACAAATGTACAAAAGAAATCCTCCACATTATGCATCCCCACCGAACAAGTAATACACTGATCCGACTTGTAGACTGGAGTAACACACACATAATCTCTCCAAACAAACCAGATCCTGCCACCCTTACTGTGCTCATAATTTGTCATTGCAGACCAGTCCTTAAACACTGAATTCAAAAATTTCCCCGCCTTATGCTCCTTAACCCTTGTTTCTAACACACACCCGAACTTTAGATCCTCATTACGAACCCAATTTTTTACCACGGAATGCTTCAATAACTTGTTAAATCCGCGCACATTCCAAAAAAACCCTTCCATGTTAGTTTTTCCGACGAGAAGACCTTTTACTCACAGGATTTATATCCCAAGTTTTCGTCTTCTGACCCTTTTTCCTCCCTCTCTTCTTAATACTCTTCTCTAACAGAGTATCCTCCAGAATATCATTCACTACCTCCTCATTAACCTCACCCTCCACCATATCATCCATCTCATATTTCTCGTCACCCGCAACTAAATCCACCTCATCTCCATTATTACTCAATACCATAAACTTTGACGCTGAAATAATTATCTCAGTATCGTTTGTTGTATAGGACTCGATTGCCTGCCCACTTTCCCTAAAGAAACCGCAGACCAACTCACTGTTTCCCCAATCTCTTCCGATTCCTTACCCAATACTACATCTTTCTTAGTATGGAACAATTGCTCCTTAGATACTACATCACTTCTCACAACCTCCTTTCCCGCACTAGTCAACTCCTCCTTATTTACATCACCTCCATTGCCTTCTTTAGCTTGAGAACTTGATCCAACCTCCTTATTTGCACTAACAACATTCCCTTCTTTAGTTTTTGAACTCGAGCCAACCTCCTTAGCGATACCTTTCATCTTACATACCTTCTCACCATGTCCCCATTTATCACAAACCTTGCATCTAGTTGGTAGATACGGATATGAGAAATCCACCGTAAACTCCTTACCCTTGCTTGTAAAATTCATTTCTTTTGGTAAGGTTTTTGATACATCCACCTCCACAAAAACCTTAGCAACTTCGCAAACGTTTCTGGATGTAACTTCAATGGGATACCCAAAGGACTAGACAGAAGACTAAGGCCCTCCCAAGAGAACATGTGCAAAGGGACTTTCGTGATGTGAACCCACATAGGAATCGACTCCTTTCCTTGTTCCTCCTCGTCAGACTTCGGAGACCATTTCGTGACTACCATCGGGATTCCTATTATGTTCCACATACCCCTCCTCAGGATTTTCTCACAAGCTTTCTGATCCGATATTTTAAACCTCATCGTCGTGTCATTTACCTCATAGACCTCAACCTTCGCAGCCAGATCCCCATATCTCCATATTTTGTTTAGCACCATATGAACCTTAGCTACATGAGGAGCTAGATCCAAGAACTTCCCAATGATGAAATCATCCCATAGCGGAGTAGATCCAGTGATTACCTCGTCTGGGATTTCCACCGACTGCCTTCCTTCCTTAGTCTGAACCTGAACCTCATATTTCTTCAACATCTTCTTATCTTGTGCAACCGAAATCCAACTTTTATCCTTCTCCACCGCATCTCGATTCACAGCAACCGACTTCCCCTCCGGCGAACCCAATGAATCCGGTGGAATCGCCGACTCCATCAATCCCCAACTGTCTATTGCAATCACCCCAGAAATCGCCTTATTTTTCGCACACCAAAACGCAGCGTTTTCCTCTTATATGATATTAATATAGTAACTAATTTTTATAAACTGAAATACCAAAAAATCAAGAAAACCGAACCGAACAGAAATCTGGATTAAACATTCCTACACTAGTTACATCCAAACCAATCACCCTCTATATAATATACGCATTCTAATGTTGACGAGAAAAATTTGTATAAACGTCCAGTCTAATAAAACAAGTAGTAAAGAATCAATGATCAATCAAGATGAAGTAATACTTATACCATAAAAGTTTTATTCATCAAAATCATAAAGCGCGAATTTATACACATCAATTTATCATCAGATTGAACTATATAAAAATATGAATTATTGGAGACTGATCAATCTCCTCCACGGGTAGCTCTAAACCATCCCCTAAAAATAGTGAACCCCCTCTTTGGTTTCATCCTTTTCACCGAAGAAACCCTCTCTAAGCCCTTCTCTTTCTCCTTCATCTCCTCCTCAACGCTTGACATCACACGTGTAAGCAGAGGAGAGCTCGCGAACGTGACGAGTCTCCTCTTCTCAAACTCCTCCATCGTTACAATTTCTTCTTCAATATCTTTGGACGTCGTCGTTTGATGATGTTCCACGAACTTAAGTTCCTCGATCTCTGGATTCTCTAGGAGACTTGACTTTATCATGTTGAGTCGTTTGATCTCTTTCCTCTCATGTTCGAGTTCCTGTGTTAGGGTTTGAATGCGGTTGGAGAGGATGGTGTTTTGTTGTAGGATTCTTGTAAGAGTATGTTTTGTCTGCTGGAGCTCGAGTGTTAGGGATCGTAATCTCGGTTGAGGACAAGGCGTTGAATTTGTTTCCTTTGTTCGAATCTGTAAGCATCAAAATACATGTTTTGCTAACCCGAAAATCAAATAAATGTTTCTTAAAACAATAATCTTTGTGAATATATATACATTAGTTACCTCTCGAAACCTAGTTGCATAAACCTCTCCGGCTAAAACTTTCTCTCCGAACAAAGCCACAGCTTCTTTCACAGATCCAAACGGTGGTCTCGTGTCTATCTCCGCACGACCACCTAAGACGGTTCTACAACCTTTTTCTCTCTCCATTATTACACGAGAATGACACAGAATTAGTGAAAACATTTCTTAGAATTTTGTGTTTATATAGTAATGTAGAGGGTGTTAGATTCTTGGCGTTCACTACACTTGAATTTAGGTTAATGGGAATTGAAATGATGTGATTTTTATTTGGTTAGGTCTAATAGTCGTTAGCTAAATGCGACAGTATTGATAACAACACCTCTCCTCTCATTCCTAACCAATTATTAAAAATTGGGGATTGAAATAAAAGTGGGCTTAGTTTTAGGCTCATTAAATAAAAATGTTAAATTGGTCGGAACAAACACGTAGGCCATCTCCTGAAATGTGTCGGAGTTCCTGTATTCACACCGTTCAAAGGAGCACATTAAAGATGAGAACCATCAATTCATCATCATCATCCATGATGCAGAGTCCACCTCCTCTAAGTTGTTGTCCTTTGCTCTCGGAAAACTTCTAGGATTGGAAAAAACCTAGTTAAAATATTGTCAGATATTAGGAATATCTAAGCAACAATTAAATCATGTTTAAGCAATAAAAGTTTTTTTCCCCAAAATCTCATCTTTACAACAGTTAAAACACTTTTTTCATCAAAGTAATACAAAGGCAAAAAAAAAAAAGAATAAAAAACTTGAGAGAGAAACGAAACTCTAGTTACAGACAGCTTTAGCTCCGGCCGTCGCTCCGTCGATTTGCCGGAAGCGACCAATCTCTTCGTTTCCTTATTTTCTCTTTGCTCACTTTCTTCTCGTCTGTCATCCCTAAGTCGATATACAATCCGCTTTGTAAAGGTCGAGAAACTTTGGAGTTGCTGCGTGCTCGACGGAGGCGGTTCATGAGTCCTTGTGGAGAGACGGCGAGACCTAAGGTGAGAGGGTGGAGAAGGGAGTCGGCGTTTTTAGGACTGAAGATCCAACCGAATCTGGTTTTCACGTCTTCAGCTCTCCGGTGAATCTTCACGGCAGTAGCGTGTGGTTCCGGTGAGACACCTTCTTCACCTCAGATCTGCTTCCCTATGTGGCGGTGAAGTGGTTGGAGGAGAGGTATAACAATTGGAGAGCAGAAGTTTGTTCCCTGGTTCTCAGGGACAACACGCGCCAAGTTTCACAATGACGGAGTTGTCAACTGGAGTTGTGGGGTTGGTTGGATAAGCGTGGTGAAGCACGGCTTCCCAGCACCGGCGGTTGGGTCGCGACTCGCTCCGGTGGTCGAGCTCCACACTCCTCCAAACCACGATTTGGTATAATGATCGTGTTAGCTGCTGCCAAGGTCTGACTTTTCAGTTCGATCCTTGTGATCGGTTTTTTTTGGCTATGAACCGTATCAACAACCATCAGTGGTCTTGAACTGAGTATGATATGCACTTCGGTGTGGGTAGTGTTGGTTCACGGCCTGAATTCTTATCCTTCGGGATTAACAGATTGTTTCTGAATTGATTACCAGACTTGGTTCTAGCTCTACTTGGTTATGTTGGCGGTTACCGTGGTCTATTTAGGGGGAAACCGCTACTCTGAAGCCTTCAGATATATGGAGAGGAGTATGCGTCGGATTGATGATGGAGTGACTGGTTGGTTTCATTCTTCTGATATCTAACCCAGTTGCTAAGGGCTTCTAATTGAAATCCTCTCTAAATATTGAGAAGAAGCACTTTCCCGGTGATGAAGCAATGGACGAACCTAAAAGTCTAATTAAGTAGTTCCATTTGCTGTGTTCTTATTAGAATTATCATTATTGGTGTCTGTTGGGTTTGTATATTGGTTTTAGTGGTAGAATATAGTGGTTTTAGAGATGGTTTCATTCCGGGTAGTGGGATGATCATATTCTCGTAGTGGTAAAAAATGCAACATAGGATTGATTCGGGTAGCGGTGGATCCTTCTAAGTGTTCCTAGGTGATACTAGATTCTTGTGTTGTATGTGTGGTTAAAATCTTGTGGGGTTAAAATCTTGTGAGGTTGTAATCTTGTTACGATGAATTGGTTAATCAAAAGTTGAAGTTGAGCAAAAAAACCCCTTTTTTATCTTTCCGAAGTTTTTCATTTCAACAAAGTAGTATTAGAATTACAAAATATTTGTGGAAGTCCCTTTAGTCCAGCGGTTTGACTGAGGGTTCATTAATGCTTCTACACTAGGAGGTCCAAGTTCAATCCTCGCGAAAGTGATCTATTAAACAATTATGCAGACTTCGAAAGAAAGACTTACAATGGATCTTTAGCATGGTGCAAGTAAACTCGGCCAGACGTGAATCTTCATAGGACGGTTCAAGTGATTCAGTGAGGTGTAAATCATCATAAGACATGTAGTATTGTCGGTTGTCGAATCGTCTATGTATTTTTTTAAAAAATTGTAATATCATAATAAGTCAGCGTTAGAAGAAAAGAAGAAGAATTACAAAATATTTTTAAAAATGAAAAATAGTGATATTATCTTCCAAGTTTTACTGCTCACTTCTTAACATGATATCTATTTATCCTAAGAGCACATGATGTGGATAATAATAGAAAAATGTTTCATTGAACCAAGAACGATGGTGGTCTACTTCAAACTCAAAAGGAGGGTTTATGAAACTCACGAAAAAAACAAAAAAAAGACCTCTATATCTGATCTATTAAAAAGTAGATGATATATTTAGTAAGATTGTTGGAGCAAAAATATCCAAAGAAACATGAAAAAGCTTCTAACCTCTTATAAGGAAACTAAACAACTTAAGAACGTACATAGTCAAACTCTAAAATATCTCAAGTCAGGTTGTCATTTTTTCAAAAATACACTCAAACAAAATTATCATAATATTTAGATTTAATGTGTAGTAATTATTGTCTAAGGTTTAATATTTAAAAGATGAGATTGAGTTTATAAACTTCTATAAATGTTCTATAAATTATTCTAAACTATTTATAAATGATTTATGAAAGTTAATTTAAAATTTTATGAAAATTATTATTTTTAAGGGTAAATTTAAAAAGTGATATGAAAGTTGAGGGGCAAAAATTGCAAAATTTCCTTTTAAAACCCATTTCTCTAATAAATAAATGTGCTGGGATCGAAGTAACCACAAATTAAAAGTTCATGAACCGGTAATTTTCATCATCAAACCGTCGAAGCTAAACCGACCCAGGCTCGCTGACCCTAATTGATTTCCAAACTGACCGTTGTTTCTACTTACTAGAGCTTACCAGAGAGAGAGAGAGAAGCTACAGTTATGGCGGATTTGCAGAGCTTTCTCCGAGATCGCTGCTTAACCATTTTGAACCTCCAAGAAAAAGGCCGCTCTCTATTCGCCTCCAGAGACTTTCGTCCAGGTTACGCGCTCTCTCTCTCTCTCTCTTGCGGAAGTTTTAGGGTTTCGTATGAAATATCGGCGAATGAGGTTTTAGTTTTTTTCTTTTTCTTTTTCAGGAGAAGTGATTGTGAGACAAGAGCCATATGTTTCGGTCCCGAACAATAGTTCGTCGGAATCAAGATGTGACGGATGTTTCAAGAACAGTGGATTGAAGAAATGTTCTGGTTGTCAAGTGGTTTGGTACTGTGGGAGCTCATGCCAGGTATATAGTGAACTCTAGAAGTTCGATTGATGATTGATTCCTTATTGTAACCGTTTATTTTTTATTTTTCGATACTGTTCAGAAGTCAGAGTGGAAATTGCATGGCCATGAATGCAAAGCTCTCTGTAGGCTTGACAAGGAGAAGCGTATGTTAGTGACTCCTACTATACGTCTTATGGTTAAGCTTTACCTCAAGAGGCACTTACAGAATGAAAAGGTTAAGAGAATGTTGTTACTAGTTTCTTGCATTCACCTTTTTTTTGTGGCCTGTGATGTATTCTGTTTGTGTTTATCTGATCCAGGTCATGCCGATCACGACAACAGACAATTACAGTTTGGTGGAGGCTTTGGTGTCGCGTATCCTCTATGCTTGGGGTTTAGTTTTGTGAAGTTGATGATCTTGCTTATTCTTTTTGTTCTTCTTTAACTTTCATTTGGTAGATATGTCTGAGCTTGATGAGAAGCAGCTGATGTTGTATGCCCAGATGGCTAATCTTGTTAACTTGATACTTCAATTTCCTAGTATAGATCTGAAAGAGATTGCCGAGAACTTTTCAAAGGTTCGTCATCAGTGCATTTTCTCTCGTCTTCTGGTGTTAGATTGACACAAAACTGAATTGTCTTGTTGCAAGCTATCGTTGATTGTTTTCTGTTTTGGAAGAGTCTTGATTTAGTGTTATACAGATAGGCTGATGCATATATGATTTTCCATCTGAAAACTCGTTAGATACTACTATTGAAGGTCAAAATCGATTGGTCACTTTGTTTTATCTGGGATAATTTCTTGTGTAGATTCATGTTTTACGATGATTACTTAAGCCACTTTCATTTATACTGAACGCAGTTCTCCTGCAATGCTCATAGTATTTGTGATAGCGAATTGAGACCTCAGGGGATAGGATTGTTTCCCTTGGTTTCCATCATTAACCACAGGTAGTTGTTTCATTATTCTGTTTTCTTTGTGTGTTTAATCACTTTATCTCCTGCCTAACCCTTTTCCTCTGCAGCTGCTCTCCCAATGCAGTATTAGTCTTCGAAGAAAAGATGGCTGTTGTCCGAGCTATGAAGAACATATCGAAGGATTCAGAGGTAGTTTCATCTTGATTCTTTCGTATACGCCACTTTCACTCTGACATGTAGCTGTTAGTTCCTTTGTCTTTTATCAGGTAACTATTAGCTATATTGAAACCGCTGGAAGCACTCTAACTCGGCAGAAATCTCTGAAAGAACAATACCTCTTCCACTGTCAGTGCGCCCGATGCAGAAACATTGTAAGTAGTTACTAGTTCTTCCACTTATCAAAGAATGGAGTTTGCACTTGACCACTCAATAATGTTGATTTTAATACAACCTGTACCAACATTTGTCATACCTAAGGGAAAGCCTCATGATATTGAAGAAAGTGCAATATTGGAAGGCTATCGGTGTGCCAATGAGAAGTGTACAGGTTTCTTGCTCCGTGATCCTGGTGTGTAAT